AGTAACAAGTGATGGCAAGGATATGGAGAAATTGGAGCCCCTGTACATTGCTAGCAGACTGTAAAGCAGTGCAGCCACTTTGGAAAACCTACAAAGTGAAACATAGATTTACCATGTCATCCAGTAATTTTATTCTTAAATACCTACCCAAGAAAAATGAAAACACAGGTCCACACAGAAACTTGTACACAAATGTACACAGCAGCATTATTCACAACAGCGAAAATGTGGAAACAACCCAAATGTCCATCAATTGATGAATAGACAAACAAAATGTGGTCTATCCATACAATGGAATGCTATCTGTCCATTTGAAAAATGAAGTGCTGACACGTGCTACAAATGGATGAATCTTGAAAACACCGTGTTCAGTGAAAGAAGCCAGGCTTAAAAGGCCAACATTATAAAATTCCGTAATATGTAATGTTCCTAGGCAAATACATAGACAGAATACAGAATCAGCGGTTGACTAGGGCTGGGGATGTGGAATGACTGACACAAATGCATAAGACTTTTTTTAGGGTGATGGAAATGTTTTAAAATTAGATTGTGGTGATGGTTGTATAACCATAAATATACTAAAATTCACTGAACTGTACACTTAAAACAAGTGGATTTTATGATATGTAGATTATCTCTCAAAAAAGCTGTTTAACAAAAAAGACATTCCAGCTTCCACCTTGCTCTTTCTCTTCGATCACTTGTTCTGGGGGAGCCAGCTGTCATGTCATGAGGACATTCAAACAGCCCTACGGAGAGGTTCACGTGGCAAGGAACTGAAGCATCCTGCCAACGACACGTGAGTGATTTGTCTTAGAAGGGAATCTCCCACCCTAGACAAGTCTTCAAGTGAATGCACTCCTGGCCAGGATTCTGACTACAACCTCATGGGAGAGACCCTGAGTCAGAACTATCAAGTTAAGCAACTCCTGAATTTCTAACCACAAAAATCATGTTGCTTTAAGCCACTAAGTTTGGAATAATTTGTTACACAGCAATAGATAACTAGTACCCCTCCCCTGACCCTCTCTCCTAATGATGGACATCTAAGGAAATGTCTTCCCAGCAACCCTTCCTCTTCTAAGAGTTTAGTTTCACTCCAGTCCATATGCTCATTGTAGTAGTTGTCATGTTAGTGAAACATGATTCCACTCCCTGGCCTTAGCTGAATGATCCAAAAGCAGGCACCTTACAAAAGCCAAGCTAATAAAGTCCTTCCCTAAGATTTCTGTACCTGAAGCTGATAAAAAGGCAGTGTCTTGCAGATACAAACTACTATATATAAAATAGATAAACAACAAGGCTCTACTGTATAGCACAGGGAACTATATTCAATAGCTTGAAATAACCTATAATGAATATATATATGTATAACTGAACCACTAAACTGTACACCAGAAACTAATGCAACACTGTAAATCAACTGTACTTCAATTAACCAAAAAAAAAAAAAAGAAAGGCAGTGTCTCGCTGGTACCTGGAGCTATAAGATGTAAAATTGGAGGTCTGTCATCAGCCATGTTCTTCCCCACGTAAGAAAAGGTAGGCAGCAGTGGAGAAGAATGAAGCCATGGCATAGAGACAAGCAAGGATTCAAGATGGAGAGAGTACAGACAAGTAAGTCTCTGGTTCCAGTGATTCCCAATGCAACCCTGTCCTTCCAGGGGGAAGACTATATGTCTTGTAACCCCAGCATATAAAACAGTACACAGAGGTAATGTATTAAATAAATGAATAAGATAATGCAATATCCTTCCAATAATACCCAACTTTTTTTTTTCGCTGCTGTTGTTCAACAGCCAGATTTAATTATTTGAAACCTAAAAGTCCTAACATCTTCTTTGCTACCTGTATACTCTGTATATCCTTCTATTATTACAATAGGACAATACATCCTAATTACTGGTTTACAAGGCCTCCTCCCCTACCATCATAGGGCAACAAATTTTCTTAGTCATTTTTGGTATTATCAGTACCATTTAGCCTAGAAAATGGAAAATGTCAAGAAATGTGTGTTTAACTGATCTAATCAACACTTTACTCTTCATTTTTAGCTTTGATAGTCACTATCATCAATTTGCCAACCACCTAACATCTGCAAGATACTGGGAATACAATAAACTGTTAGACTTTGTCCTGGATTTTCACGCAATTAATTTATTCACCAAGTATTTGATTACCTACCATATGCCAGGGGCTGAAAATGGATGGAGGACATGGTGTCTGTCCTGAAGGACCATACAGTCCAGCATAGACAAGCAAATCAATTATTACAGTTCTGTGTGTTAAATGTTGTTGAAGAAATATGTACAGGCTGCTAAGCAGCGGGGATCACGGTGAGTTTACACTCTACTTCAGGAGGCGAGACAATACAGAAAAAGACGATAGCCTGGCAATGCGGCACAGGCTAAGCACCAAATGGCTGATTTGTTTTCCAAGTGACACTGGATTCATTTGCAAACTTTAAGAAAAGACACTGTTACGGGTGATCTTCAGATTTACATGCAACCAACACCTCCTGAGTGCCTATTATGTGCCAAGCAAACTGCCTGGCAATTTTCTAACAGGGCCTCATTCAATTTTTACATTCTATAAACGAGAGAAGTGACTCTAAGTGAAGTGACTTGCCCAAGTCTACAGAGCTAATAAATGGCAGAGTTGGGACTTAGAATTAAGTCTTCAATTCCATATTCAGATATGCCATGCTACTCAGTCTACACAATTGGAACAATTTCCAAGTCCTTACATGTAACTTGTGTTGCTTTTTCACTCATCCCACAGCAGACAATACAGTGTTGGACACAAATGGGCGATCACCAACTGCTGACTTGATATGACTATGTGCTTGTCCACATTTTGAGAAGCAAGGGACCACATCAGATCAAATTACTTTGGTGCCTATTATAGCACCATGTGCTGACAGGGGCCCAGTTGGCTGAAGATGAGCAAATCTTTCAAGTTATATTTTAACAGTATTTTTGACCACTGTATCCGGTCAGTTGTTCCATTGTTCAGTAATAAATCAAAATGACTTTTCATTTCCTTCGACAGTTAACAGTACTAATGAATTCAGTATAATCTCACCATCCATCAGAAAAATTTCTAAAATGCAAACTTGAAGCTGATGATTCACATAGTTAGTAGAGAAGGGGAAATAAAGCAGTACTCATTGTTTTCTACAAAACCAGCATTGTTTGCAAAACCCAGAAACTGAGCAGTTGGTTGACTACTAACGAATTAGGTTGCTCCTTGTTCATTTAGCAAAAAGCTGTTTGTTGCACCATGGTCAATGGATGAGGAGCATATGACTTCAAGCAGCTCCTGTTGTACAGCACGATTCTACATATATGAATCAGTGAATCGTTATGTAAGAAAGAAAAAGAAATTCAAAATCTCCAAACCAGAAAGCATCTGACACTGAGCTTGGCACAGATGAGATATTAATTCTGAATAAATGTTTACTGAATGAGTTATTTAACAGCCCTTTGAAAACATCAGTTGTCTATTAAATTGAGAGAGAAAAATCAAGCCAACCAAACCTAGACAGGTTATGTTAGGAACTCAAATAAATTACGGAGTAACTGTCTCAAGATACATAACAAATTCACAATGACCAAAAAATGTTTTAAACCAATGTTTTAAAATGTTGAAATAAGTAAGCATGCATTTGACATCCCTCTTAAATTAAGTCACCACACTGGCACTCACTGGAATGCTAACCAACAATAACAAAATCTAAAAGAATGGGTGACAGATCTAACTTTACAATCTGTTCAAAACAGTAACAAGGTGTACTAGGCATACACCTGAAACCTGCTATATAAGCTCTGTGTCTACACAGTAAAACAATATCCCAGTATGCCAAAGACACTGAATCAAAAACCTTCATAAATGCTCACAGAACATTTAAGAGTAATAATGAACAATTCATGAAAATGTATTATCCGTTCAGAAATGAAAAAAGATCTCTAATATGAGACTGGGCCCCACAAATATAAACCCAAACTGTACTGATTAGTCCGAATAAACATTTTCCATTAAGGACCCACAACGAATAAAGTAATCCAACAAGTATAAAGCTTGGGACGACTCTACTGATCTCAAACATAAGAATGTAAGCGCTGGCTAGTTAGTCTCTTTTACCTAGAGCTTTAAATTTACTGAGCCTTCTTCTCAAGAGACCTCTGAAAGAAATTCAAGGCCAAGTATAGTATTTCATGATGATTGCAAATAAAAGCACTCAGTCCCTGAAGCCTGCAATCCCTCTTTATCTCACTAGAGACTGGACTCGGGAAAGGCCAGGGGACAGTAACCCTTTTATCTTGCACAGGACCCGAGCACCTTAGGGACCCCTCTAGGGAAGCAGAGGGGCGGAGAAGTGAGTCATGCTCCAAAACTAAGCGTCGTTCACTCCATACTGAGGAAGGCGCACCTTTCACCCTAGACAGGATGCAGTGACAGATGTGTCACCTGTGCGGGAAGGGGGCGCGAAGACATCCTCAGACATCCCTAGAGTCAGAGCCAAAAGGGAGCTGTCAGCTGCTCCGCGGGTCCCAA